AGAATACTGAAAGCTCTTCTTGTGATGAGAGAATTCTGAGTTATTATAAATTATTAGCATTTGCATGGTAAGGAATATAATAACATGGTTTCCTCGAAGGTCTTCTCATTACAATTAATCATCATTGTTGGGTCTGCCAGATGTTTCAGAATAGTTTACATTGGCGATTTATCGAAAATCTTGACACCTTTAGAAAACAGGGTCTATAATAATAAGAAAGAAACAAGGATAAGGTTCGGAGAACAGCCTTGGTTGCGCCTACTTGGCTCCTTTAAGGATATGGGCGACATTTCATTATGCCAACGGAAGTAAATATCATGTGGGGGAATAGGTGCTACGGAGAAAAGGAAAATACATGGGGAAAACGGGATTAAGATGTGTTTAAGGCTGTTCTCCGAACCTTATCCAGAAACAGTATCACATCCTTACCAAGCTTGATTTAATTTATTTGATTATAGCACGTAAAGGCTATCAACCTAAAACGATGGATGTCTTTGTGAAGGACTTTCTGGGGGAAACTGGCGCGTATCTAGACTAGAAAAGCCTAGAATCCATTTTTAAGTCATTTTTAAGCCTTAAATTAATATTAGCTTCCTATGAAAATACCTTGGCAGCTCTACAAGGGCTCATTCATATTAAAATTTGAGTGTATTTCAACAGGATAAAAATTTGTTATTTAAATTTAGTGTGGGTGCAATGTATTTTTCAAAACTGTTCAGAACAAACTTATATACACATTAAAAATTCTGAACATGCAAAAATTAAAAAAAAAAAAAAAAAAAAAAAACTTCCACCAGATCTTTAGTTTAAATATACTGCATGATAGCTTTTTAATCCAAAGATTATGTAAATAATTTATATTTAAACCTTCCTTTCAGATATAGAATAAAATAATACAAGTTTTCACATTTAATACAAAATGTTCATAATTTTAAATTCATTAATTATTCATTTGAATAATATATAGAGAAACAAATGATATTTTTTCTCTAATACAATGATGAAATTAAAGCACAAAACATTAATTATTAGATGAAATGTATTGCAAATATTAACAGAATTAATTTAAAACTGAAATCTCATATATTTCTCAGTGATTTAAAATAAATACACGAATATTTTGGAAAGCAATATATGCTAAAATGTTAATATTTCGTATGTATTTAGTTAGCATCTGTAGTATTTTCAGAAAAATTTCCTTTGCTTCTGAAACTCATATTGCTTCAATTTATACGCAGAAATTTACTGAGCGTAATAGACATAGTTCGGATGTCACGTGACCTCCCTGCGCGTTTCGTGATTTAGCGCCGACCTACCCCCTCCCTTTCTTCGCGACCGCTAGCGCAGACCTGACTATCTTTTTTCGTCTCCCACACTACTCTTTCTCCTCCTCCCAGATTCTTATCAGAAGTCGAGTAAAAAGATGTTCCTACATCTTGACACTCGAGTATAAAATACGATCTGTGTGATGCTTAGGGAAAAAAAAGAGTATAGATATATATATATATATATATATATATATATATATATATATAATTTATTTACTAAACATATTGATTAATTAATTATATTATCTCCTAAGTTTAATTAAAGTAGAATTATTTTAAAAGTGGGCATCCATACTGGTAAAGTTATATATTGAAAGATGTTTTGAAGTAATTTGAAAGCAAAATGTTAATAATGTTTTACCGGGACTGGAGTTAAATCATCACGAAGAATAATATTTCAATTGTAAAAGGAAAATTAAAACATGTAATCATTGTCATTGATCGGAAATTAGTTGACTTTTCAAGGGGAACAAACCAACTCCCGTTCAATGAACAATAATTGATAAAAATACGTAAATACGAAAGTGTTTCGTCTTTACTCGAGTTATAAGTTAAAGCCAAACCGGCAATTCTAGTCAGGCCAAATATTTCCGCGAATAGTAGGAATTATGAACCAATTCTGATACTCAAAGAACTTATTCTTATGAAGTATTTTAGTCAATTCAATTTTGAGTAAAAATCGATTACTGTAGAGAAATCCTACTATAAAACTCGAGTAACCGTCCCCGACATTTTCATGTTTATGCATTTGAGTACTATATTATTTGTAGAAATTAAACATTGGAAATTGTCATTATGAAATTGAATTCAAAGTAAAGTTGAAATAAACATAGAAGATTATAAAAAAATATAAATAATGCAAACTTTGTAAAAACAAATCAAAGATAATATAAAAATAATATAAAAAATAATATAAATAAGATCAGTGAATGTACATGAAGATATAAAGGCCAGAAAAGGTATTAAGTAACTTACATTCTTTCTAGTGGGGGAGTTGGCAAAGTGTTCTCTTCGTGTCTGACTCAGAAGTGTAGGGTGTCCGAAAATTCTTAGCGGCAGTATGGGCTTTGAATAATATCAGTCGGTAAGACTTGGTGAAGTAATTTATGGTAGTGGGTGGGACTTGGAATTCTTGAAGGATGTATTTTGTGGGAGTTCTTATCTGAGAGAGACCGTCTGTTAAGATTTTTTTTGAAAATACTAGTGAATGGAAATTAAATTAATTTCTGGCTAATTGTCGTGTCGCAATGATTAAGAATTTAAGAAAGGAAAAAGGCCTTTTCACTGTCCAAGAGCTAATAGACAGTCTAAAAGGCATGAAATAGGCCCATTTTTTAGTAAACAGTATATGTCTGAAGACAATTAGCTTTTTACAATATATACAATTGAGTAATTACACTAATACAAATCTTCCAACTGACAGTCATCCAACTTATATGCGCCTTCTCAGGTTTAGGAATAAAATTATCATATCCCTATCAGTTAATGATTTAGAGTGAGTATTAAACGCCTGCTCTTTTAAGGCAATGGTTGATAAATTGAAAGGGAATTAGATTATTTTTGAGAATTTTTGATAAGGGTCAAAATTCGCGTGTAAATCTATTGTATCTGTGCATATAGTTTTAATTCGTTGTATTTGATTAATTATAGTATTGTTAATTACTTTTTTGGATATGTTGGAGTTCCAATTTATTAATTTGTTAGTATTGAAATTGAAGTTTCTTGTTTTGTCAAAAAGTACAATTTTTTTTTGTAGTTAATGATTTGAAGATCTAGAAAGTCTATGCTATTTTGTGAATTATTAGTTTTATTAAGTGTAAGACAATTCGGATAAATCTCGGAGTGTTTCAATTTTACCAAAATTATTAATTGTAATAAGGTCATCAATATATCTGTAGGTGTGTTTTGTAGTCAATTTAACTCTTGTGGTTGTAGATTTTTTTTGGAAGTTACATTCTTGACAAATAAAAAGATATTACAGATCGAGGTGCTGGAATGTAAGCCCATTGGCAATCCTCTGACTTGTTTAAAAAGTTGATTTTGAAACTTGATGTAGTTATGAAAAAGGTGTGCATTTTAGGTAGGTTTTTCCATTTGTCAGAGAGTCATGATATTGAGTATATAGGGAAAAGTTTTGGTAGATCAAGTAGACTGGTGTAGATATCTTCTAGAGGAAGTGAGGTATATAAGTTTTCAAAAATCATAGCAGTTAATGTTTTGGATGTTAATGGTATTGAAATGGTATTAATGACAGGAGTGTTATTATGAATGATCCAGCAATAGTTATGATTAGTGTTACAATCATTGAAAATAAATTTACAGATTTTATTAAGTTGAATTGAAAAATAATAGTCTACATTTTTCTTGTAATTATTAGTTCCATTATCTATAAATCTAAATTTTAATGGTGTTTTATGGAATTTGGGAATCGCATAAAGATTAGTAAATCTGTTGTAGTTTGCATTGAAAGTAATATTGAGTTTCTTATGAAAAGTTTTAATCCTGTTTATTATAGATGTTTCTGTAAGGTTGGCTAATTGATAAGTAGTTGCGTTGAGAAGTTCTTTATGAATAATTTCAGCGTATAATTGTTTTCATATAATGCTAAAGTTATTAGTTGCTTTATCTATTTTTGTAATAGTAAAAAGCTGTTTTAATTTATTAATATCTGATGTAAGTTGCGACCAATTCAGTGTACTTTTAAATTTGAGGTGACTGATTTCGGTGGATATGCGTTGAAGAATTTTAGCTTTCCATTTTAAGAAGGTATCTTCATGTACATTCACTGATCTTATTTATATTATTTTTTATATTATTTTTATATTATCTTTGATTTGTTTTTACAAAGTTTGCATTATTTATATTTTTTTATAATCTTCTATGTTTATTTCAACTTTACTTTGAATTCGATTTCATAATGATAATTTCCAATGTTTAATTTCTACAAATAATATAGTACTCAAATGCATAAACATGAAAGTGTCGGGGACGGTTACGCGAGTTTTATAGTAGGATTTCTCTACAGTAATCGATTTTTACTCAAAATTGAATTGACTAAAATACTTCATAAGAATAAGTTCGTTGAGTATCAGCATTGGTTCATAATTCCTACTATTCGCGGAAATATTTGGCCTGACTAGAATTGCCGGTTTGGCTTTAACTTATAACTCGAGTAAAGACGAAACACTTTCGTATTTACGTATTTTATCAATTATTGTTCATTGAACGGGAGTTGGTTTGTTCCCCTTGAAAAGTCAACTAATTTCCGATCAATGACAATGATTACATGTTTTAATTTTTCCTTTTACAATTGAAATATTATTCTTCGTGATGATTTAACTCCAGTCCCGGTTTAAAACATTATTAACATTTTGCTTTCAAATTACTTCAAAACATCTTTCAATATATAACTTACCAGTATGGATGCCCACTTTTAAAATAATTCTACTTTAATTAAACTTAGGAGATAATATATCAATTAATCAATACTGTTTAGGAAATAATATTATTAACTAACTTTGCAGCAATTGCGCAAGTAATAATAACTTGTATTCGCACTAAATGGATTTAAGATCATACAACATATATATATATATATATATATATATTTAAAATATCTATTAGATTAAGTAAAGTCGAATGGCAACATCCTATGGAGTGATGAAATAATGTTTTGTTTACTGGCGCGATCCTTGGGCGCGATGAACGTGGCGAAGAGAAGGCTATTCTCCAGTAAGAGTATTAGAATAATATTGACATCAGACTTTTCAAAGCTTGCAGCAAATCGTACTAAGATTTTTTATAACCCTGTGAGAAATATAACTTTGCCAACAGTTCGTATTTATTCAAATACTGCTTATGAACATACTAAGGAACATATAACTAAGAGTGATACGATCGGAAAGATACAGCCAAAATTATTTTTAGCATTTACTTGTAAAATATGTAAATCTAGAATTGAAAAACATATTTCGAAAATAGCTTATACAAAAGGTGTTGTTATTGTCACATGTGACGGATGTCAGGAAAATCATTTGATCGCAGACAACTTGGGTTGGTTTCCGAATTTGAAATCTATGAGGTAATACTAAATAAGTGCATGTATATTTGAATATTTCCATCTGAAAAAAAGTTTGTTAATTTATAAGTGTATTCTGCGTTAACATCTAGTTAAAGATAAAGATATTGCTAAACATTTTCATTTTATTAGCAACCTGAATTTTTCCAGCTTAGAACCCCCCTTTTTTTTAATGTAGCTAAGGCACTTTAACATGAACTCTTTTGGGGATACAGAAAATGTGGTACTTGAATATTAGCAGCATTTTCTAAAACACTGCCAGCAGTCTGTTAGTGCATTTTGGTTGAGGTTGCCTGGTTGAAAGAAGTATAGCATTTTGTTTTAGGTAATTTAAGAGTCTATTGTACCATGCTATAGAATGAATATATGGATGATTTTTTTATTCATGTATATATATATATATATATTACTAAATCAAAATATATTGTTTACAGTATAGTTGAATGATACTATTATAAGTTTAAATGATTTGATAATTTTACATTCTAAAGGTAATGATGTATTAGTGGTACTTGGATAAGAAAACAACAAACTAGCAACAATAAATTTCACATCACACTACTTAAAGATTGATTTGTTATATATTGTTGGCTATATAAGCAGGGAATGAAAAAATTAATGTAAATAATGTTGTTAAATCAAGATGTATGAGAAATTTTGCAACTCTGAAAAAGGATGAATAATGCTTCAGGAATAGTTGAAATACTGTTTGTAATTTTATTCTCTTGTTTTTGTAAAAATCTAAAATTTACTTTTACATAGTATGTTAATTGTTAGTTTACACTTAGTATGTTCAATATTTTTGTTTGATACTGAAATTAATATAAGCATTTTAATATAATATTTGATGATCTTGATTAGACTAGAACAGGGTTTCTCAACTTATTTGCCCCATGTACCTTTCTTTCTCATTGTTGCTAGAATATCATCCCCCTTTACAAAACTTGAAAATTACATTTATATTTATTTAAATTTAGATTAGTTTTTAATCAAGGAAAAGTATAAAAGTATTAATAAAATCCAATGTGAAATAAAGTAGTTTTTATAGTAATAAAATGAAACTAAATATTTAGCAGATAAAATAAAAGGCTGACCGCATTCCCCTATAATTATTTATGTCAGTGGTTATTTATGTTCTCAGAAATGCTGATTTCCTCTAGGGATGGCCATCTACAGGAGAAAGGTAGCATGAAAGAATTTACTATACATTTCCATATCTAAGCTGCTAACTCTCACACTGAAAATTAAATAGTGTAGTTTATGCCATTTGGAACTAGCTGTTCAATTATGATGAGAGACTATTTTAGTGTTTAATTAAAAGTCCTATAAGGTTTTGTCAAAAGCATGCATTTTAACCCTTTGACGCAAGCTATATTATTTTTATAATTTTTTAACTAAAAACTCTAGAAATTTAATATTATGATCCTAGAAACAAGTAATAATATATAAATTTAAAAAAAAAAATCTATGCTTGCCCAGTGTTCTGTGGGTGGTAGTCGCACTGTGAAATTAGGACTTTGAAACTTACTGAGGTAGTTGGGGGGGGGGCTTACCTTTTTCCGTGCACGTTTCCAATAAATGACAAAATTTATTTATTTTAAAAAATATATGTAAGAATTGCATTATGTGTAAATTTTTTACAGTATTTTACAAAGTAAATTGTCAGAAAAAATTAAAAAATAAACATTTATGCAATTTTTCTATAGCAGTGAAAATATAAGTACCTACATAATGAGGACGTTCGGATAAATGGTTAAAAAGACTCAGTAAAGTAAGGGGGAAAAACTTCAGTGTTTTTTTATTATTATTTATTTATTTTTTATTTCAAAGAAAAAATTTTTTGGTGACATTGTTCAAAGCATGTTTTTGTCGTTTTGGTACATGCATAGACCCACATTGCACATGCACATTTCGCATATGTATCTTGGATAAATCTTTGGATTATGGTAACTTGGCGATTTTTTTGGTGACCAACCCTGCTACAGCAACCTGCTAGTGTTTTTTTTTTTTTTTTTTTTTTTTTGTACGCCATTTTGTTTTTACAAAGTAAAGGTTTTTTTTTTTTTTTTACTCAACAATTTTTCCAACAATCTGCTAACCGAATTACGCTTATGCTACAACTTTTATGGAACAAAAGTGCTTAATCATACGAAGATTAGGTGCGAAATTGTTTCTAAGTGCTTATTAGCTAAAATCACGATCGGAGTTTTCCAGAAAGTAGTGGAACAAACGAACGTGCACAGAAATTTGTTTTTAACAGGGCAAATTTATACATGAAACATGTAAATAATTTTTCTCATAAATTAGAAAAATTTGCACAAAAATGCAGGAAAATTTTGTGAATCTTAATCTGTGATTGGAACTCTGTACTTCTCAGATTATTTGCTAAAGTTCTAGCTAGTAACCTTTATCGCCTTACCAAAATGTCGCCAAATTATCTGTTACCATATTCCAAAGATTAGCCGTATCTTGTTCTGTAAGGTTTCTTCCTTGTGCTACAAAATGTACACTTCCTGCAACTAAATTTCACTGGTATATGTCCAGCATTATTTAGTTACTTTTCATCTGGCACATGAAATTTGTGGTTTTTTTATGTTAATGGGGGGAGGGGGCTTGGTCTTTTTGGCTTTTTGTCCCAAAATATTTTAGAAAATATTTTTACTTTAAATAAAACTTTTACATGATTTCTATTTCTAATAACAGCAAAGTCTTTACATTAAATTTAAACCACACCAAATAATTTATAAAATCACAATACTAGCTTGGGTAGCAAGTGTGTTGAAGTCAGAGAAAAATCTCTGGGAAAGAAAGGCCTTTTCACTGGGCAAATGTATGTATTGTTTAGTAATAAAATAACTCTGTGGTTTCAAAGCCCTTTATCTATATCTGGGTAAAAATAAACATTCCTATTTGAAAAGCAACCAAACACCATTGTGAAGAGCAGTGGTTTCAAGGCGCAACCACCGAACCTCTAGAGGATTGTGACACAATGGTCTAGTGGATCAATGGTCGCACCCTGAAACCACAAAGCAAATGCCATAAATATAGATATGTTTTTTTATATATGCAGTTTAATTATTGCAGTTTTTTATTGTTTACGATAGAAATCATGATGTGAGATGAATAACTTTTGAAATTTAAAGTTGTTTATATTAATAAAAAGAAGTTTGTGGTGATGGCGATAAGGAACGCGCCTTGCGCCCTGTGACAAGTGTGGCAACCCTAGAGGAGAATTTTCTTACGAGTAGAGAGCAGAGCGAAACAGGCCGGCTGTCGGGGAAATAGTGATTCCTATCATATTGTTACCGCCAATCCTCGCATTCCATATCACAGATTATGTTCTTACAGCATTAATATAAATATTAACAAGACATAGTGCACAATAAAAATTAAGCTTTATTTCGGAACTTCGCGCACACTCTCCGACAGCCGGCCTGTTTCGCTCTGCTCAAAGGAACTGGGGGGAAACTCTGTGATGATGGCGATTAGGAACGCACCTTGAACCCTCCAATAAGTGTGGCAACCCTAGAGGAGAAGTTTTCTTACGAGTAGCGAGCAGAGCAAAACAGGCCGGCTGTCGGGGAGTGTGTGCAAAGTTCCGAAATAAAGCTTAATCTTTATTGTGCACTATGTCTTGTTAATATTTATATTAATGCTGTAAGAACATAATCTGTGATATGGAATGCCAGGATTGGCGATAACAATATGATAAGAATAAGTTATTTTGTCAAATGGAAAACAAATTTTAAAAGGCATCCAATTTGAAGTACTAAGACTTAAAACATGTATGATTCTGCAGTCATTTTGTGTTATTTAGAGGTAAAAGGTCAGTAATCAATTGATTTTCACTTAAAATTTTCGGAAAGAAGAGAAAAAAATTCAAAAATTGTAGTTTCATGATATTTTAATATGGGAATCTAATGAAAAGGAACATGAGCTACGACTTTAAAAAGTACTCCAGAGAGCACAAGAAAATAATTTGAAGTTCAATAAGGCTAAATGTAAAATAATAGTTAATCATGTGAATTATATAGGGCATGAAAAGTGAAAGTTATAAGTGAAAATGGACTAAAACCTGATTTTTCTAAAGTGGAAGCTGTTGTTAAAATGCCAGAACCTACAGATGTGCCAAAAGATTTTTGGTATTAATTATTTAGCCAAATTTATTTCTAACTTAACTACTATTACTGCCCCATTAAGACAATTACTTGATAAAAATGTTCTCTGGCAGTGAACTGAAAACATCAAAAAGCTTTCGAAACACTTAAAGAATTGGTTTGAAAAGCACCCGTATTAAAATTCTATCATGTTAATAAGGATGTAACTCTTTTAGTAGATGCAAGTTCTGAAGGATTAGGTGCTGTTTTACTACAAGAAAAGCAACCAATTGCTTATGCTTCCAGAGCTCTAACGAAAAGTCAGAAAAATTATGCTCAGATAGAAAGAGCTATTACTTTTGGATGTTCTAAATTTCATCCATATACTATATATATGGCAAGTGTATTACAGTTGAAACTGATTATCGACAATTAGAAAGCATAACTAAGAAACCTCTTTTTAAAACACCACAGCGGATTGCAAAGAATGCTGTTAAATTTACGAAAATATAATCTAGATGTATCATAAAAAAGATAAAGACTTATTAATAGCAGACACTTTGAGTAGAGCATATTTGAATACAACAAATGAAGATACAGAAATTTATATGCTGATTCCAGCATCTGATGACAAAATTTATGAACTGAAGAAAGAAAGTGAATAGGATGCTACACTGCAGTGCATAAAGAAATAATTCTGAGAGGTTGGCTAGAAAAGAAACATCAGGCGGAACCTCAAGTCAAAGTATTTTGGGACAATAGAGATGAGTTGACAATGGAAAATGACTTATTTTTCAGAGGATGAAGGGTCTATACAAAAAGAGATGTTAAATTTAATTCATGAGGGTCATTTTGGTATAGAAAATGTAAGAAAAGAGCTAGAGATGTTTTGTTTTGGCCACTTATGAACAAACAAGTAGAAGATAAAATTTCAAAATGTCTTATATGTAATGAATACCAGAATAAAAACATAAGAGAGCCTATGATACCACATGAAGTTCCCAATTTACCTTGGTATAAAGTTGCAACAGATTTATTTGAGATTAACAAAGATGTATACTTATTAATTGTATACTATTCCAACTTTTTTGAAGTCTCCAAACTACCAGATATTCGAAGTCAGACAGTGATCAGTTACATGAAATCTCATTTTGCAAGATATGATATACCATTGATAGTGATATCTAAATAATGGACCTCAGTTTGCAAGTAAAGAATTTGCAAAGAAATACCAATTTAAACATATAACAAGCAGTCCATACCATCCACAGTCGAACAGATTAGCAGAGCGTTCAGTACAAACAGTGAAGAAATTGTTAAAAAAAGCTCAAGCAGATCATGCTGATCCTTATTTAGCAATGTTAGCTCATAGGAACACTCCAACTAATGAGATATTGGGATCACCAGCTCAGCGACTTATGAGTACAAGAACAAGAACAATTCTTCCTACATCCAAAGAATTGCTAAAACATAAAGTTATGAAAAACGTAAAAGAATAAAATCAATCAAGAAAGAACTAAGCAGAAGTCATATTATAATCGTCATACATACCATCGCTAAGCAAAGGAGATTGTGTTAGGGTATATCAAGATAATCGCTGGAAACCAGCAGTTGTAGAAGTATATAAGACACCTAGATCATATATACTGAGATCAGGTGAATCAGTATTGAGAAGAAATAGAAAAGACATCAGAGAGAACAGTTCTGCTCAGCTGTTGAAGAGATTATCAGAGGAACAGAACAAGGAGCTAATGCACAGAAAACAGATGTAAAAGGATATGATTCCAGATACAGTCAACAGTCGTTAATTCGGACACCCATAATCCGGAATGATCTATAATCCGGACCTCAAAGCTAAAATCTTTCTGCGCATGCGCACAGGGGTTTAGGCGTACGCGCAAGACCTTTACGACTGCGCGTATGCGTCTGTGCAAGCACAGAATATGTTTTTGTGTGCACGTTTAATGTATAACGAACGGTATAAGCTAAAATTATCTAATTATCTATTTCAATTAATGTTGATGATTGCGTTGTTTCTCAATCTTCGAATTGGATCCGGCTTATTATTTTTTGCAGACTGTAAGAGCAATTTTATAAAAGTAAGCTTGAACTTTCGATTATGTCAAATAGAATTTCCGATGCTGAAGCTCCCAAAGGATCTAGAAAACGAAAGTATATTTTGATGTCCATCAAACAAAAAACGAATTGCTACAAAAAATGGATAAAGGCATATCCTTTGTTTATCTAACCGTTCCGAAATCTGTTTATCAATTTCGCGCTGCTCTGCGGGGGGGGGGACGTCGCGTTGCGCAATGAACTGAAAGTTGATCTGTCAGCACTATCGTTATCTTCAGAGCAGATGTTTTTATTTTATTCGGCTTATAATTCCTTACTAAATGTAGTATTTAATCTCGATGTACTCCGTCTTTGATATGATTTAAATCAAATTCCTCGTCATTATAAATATCACGAATACAAATCAAATAGTTTTCTGATTGCAATTTTCTAATTTCGGCTATGCGTAAGGTATGCTTTACGCATGCACGCATTGAAAGAAATGTTTAATAAAGTAAACAAATAAATATTAAGCTTCTTTTTTTGAAATTTTGATACCCTTTAGATCATAATTGCTCATTATTTTATAAATTACGGTTTCATATTTTTAATTTTATAATTTCTGCATGCCATCTTACCAGATTTAAACTGATGATCTATAATCCGGAATTGCCGAAGTCCGGATTAGAGACTTTTGACTGTATTCTCAAGGGCAAAGGTTAGAAGAACAACTACCAAATTCTGCTAACTCAGAAACAAGGGGTGGTGAGCAAAGAACTAGAAGTGGGAGAGTGATTAGAAAGCCGGCCAGGTATTTGGACTGTAAAAAAAAACTTTTGAACTCTTGAAAAAATGGAAGATGTAATATTTAATAATTTGTAAATGGCAACATTTAATATTTAGTAACTTGTAATTGGCAACACTTTGGATACAGATATGAAAATATAACTATGCTGGTATTGCAGTTCTCTGTAATATAATACATTCTATGATTATAAATACAGTCAAAAGTCGTTAATCCGGACTTTTCGGGACTTCAGCGATTCCGGATTATAGATCATCAGTTTAAATCTCGTAAGATGGCATGCAGAAATTCTAAAATTAAAAATATGAAACCTTAATTTATGAAATAAAGAACAATTATAATCTAAAGGGTATCAAAATTTACAAAAAAAAAGCTTAATATTTATTTGTTTACTTTATTAAACATTTCTTTCAATGTAAGTTGTTTAAGTTGCTTCGTTTCATGTGATAAATACTTTCTCTTTAATTTTATTAAACAGACATAATTTCTTGTTCAGTTACAAAGTTTCGCTGTTCAAGTCCCGTTAATTGTTGTGCCGAGAATACCGACTAACTTGTCAATCGAAATTTTTTCGTTTTCACTAACCTCTCTGTCACATTCTTCATGTCTTTATCCATTTTTCGCAGCAATTCCATTTTTTGTTTGATGGACATCGAAACATACTTTCGTTTTGTATGATCCTTTGGGAGCTCCAGAATCGGAAATTCTATTTGACATAATCGAAAGTTCACGTTTACTTTTATAAAATTGCTCTTACAGTCTGCAAAAAATAATAATCCAGATCCAATTCGAAGATTAAGGAACAACGCAATCATCAACATTAACAGAAATAGATAATTACATAATTTTAGATTATGCCGTCCGTTATACATAAAACGCGCACGCGAAAACGTATTCTGCGCTTGCGCACACGCATATGCGCAGTGGTAAAAGGTCTTACGCGTACGCATAAACACCTATGCGCATGTGTCAATGCAGCGCATGCGCAGAAAGTTTTTAGCTTTGAGGTCCGGATTATAGATCATTCCGGATTATGGGTGTCCGAATTAACGACTTTTGACTGTAAATAGTTCATAAAAACTAAAAGTGCGCTCTCATTATTCTATATTAGGCTTGAAGTATCCTTTCAATAAAACTTATATTCCTACCCAATTTCCTATTTGATATTTATAATTTATTATACAGTAGAATATTCTAAATGTTAAAATATGGAAAAGTTTGTTGGGTTTAATTATCCGGTGCGCACGGGATTTGGCGACTTTATGATGAGCAGTAAAAACGACATAGTAGATGAGTAGTAAACGGGTCATTCAAAGAATATACTATATAGTTATACATAGTATAAAGTGATGGTATATAGTGTATAATATATACATAGACGTTCTTTGGGACATTTTTGGTGTTGGCGATAATTTTCAAAATCGTACCAATGCTGCACCTTATACTAGGATTTTACCTTTCGTTGCAATATATATACTTTCATAGGTACTACTTTGGTAGATGGTTGCACGGATTTTTGGCGATTTACATTGGCGCAATTGTTGACGCGGTTTTTAGTCATCAGCCATCTTGAAAAATGCTGTTTTTACGTATTTTTCGGCATATAGTAAGTATTCGAACTTAAAAAAATAATATCGTTAAAAAAATGAATCATTTTTTGTTTAAAACACGTTTTTTTTAAGCTGGCTGGCAAATGTAATAAATCATTTACTAGAGTATAAATGGTAAAAAGTAAGGTTTAATTATACTTTCAGATAATAGAATAAAAACACCGCTATGAAACATTGCGCCAACATTTAATTGGATTAAAATATTACTTAAATTGAATAGCAAATTAAAAACATCATACTCACATTTAAAAGAATTAAAATATTACTTAAATCTTTTAAATAAGTTTATAGGATTTAATTATTTAACATTAAAATATGTGGCAATAAATCTCCGGAATTTTTGAAACATTCTATAATTTTTATAAAAATGAAGTATACCAATTAAAGTAAAGAAATTAGTACTTGCTTTTTTTAAATATTTTACCTGTCATATATTCAATAACACACACACACAACAAAAAAAAGGGGGGTCTTCTAATATCTTTACTGTGATTTACCCTCCTCATTTTCATTGAAGAAGCAATTAGCGAGGTTCTCCTCCAAAAAATTTAAATAAATTTCGTCTGACGTATTACATTTATAAATAAATCTTTCATTTAAAGACAGAATGGCCAAATAAGTCTCAAAGGCAACTTTTTTTTCCGATACCAATAAGCTTGGTAATTATCATAACAAATTCATCATTGAAACGGACGAGGAATTCGAAGAGTCAATAATAAATTTTAAATGGCGCGGTAATGCACAAATATTCAGTTGACCATCAGGGAGCTGATTACCTCACTCATAGAATTAAAATTATTTAAATAATCATTCATAATAAAATCATTTTTAAACAAATGAAAATTAAATTGGATTTTAATATTTAACACCATAAAGCATGTTTAAAACATTAAATTTATAGATTAATAAGCCAATTACTTTTTAAAGCAAGGTGACGTCATTGATTACATCATCCACACATAATTATATAAATCTTATTAACAACCAAATTGTATTTCAAATAAAAATGCAAAATTAAATTGATTTTTAATATTTAGAAGCCATAAATAATATTTAAAACATGGAATTTATGCATAATAAAGCGCATTATTTTTTTAAAATAAAATGACAACAAAGTATCGGTTACCATAAATAACTTATCCAGCGGGTTTACCATAAGTCATATTACTCGCCAAAAATCCGTGTAACCGTCCACCAAAGTAGCACCCTTTCATATTTGATATATATTAAAATGTATATACAAACTTCTGAGAATTTACAAGGCATTTATTTATTTCAGAAATATTGAAGAAATAATGGCTGCTAAAGGTGAAGTTGAGAAGAAATCAGTAGATGGTCTTCAGATTCAAGAAACATCACCTGAAAATGACATTCATCTGACAGATAAAGTAATAAAAGAAAAAGAAAATTAAATATTATGTGTTTTAATAGATTGAGTATAATTTATCTGAATGCACAAATTTATGAGTTCATCAGCTGTCAGTATATTATTTATTTCTACTATTTGTTAACTACTGCTAAACAATAAATCCTTCTTTGTGACTTTTGACATTTTTATGATTGAATTTAAACATTTTTTTCCTGGGCATTTAACAATTATGCTATTAATAATGCTCAAATTTTTCAGTTCACTATCTATATATAATTTGCTCTGTTATATATTTATGTAATTTAAAGATTATAAAAATGAATTTTATATGACTAACGAAAAATACAAAATATTGAAACAGTAACATGATGTACACAAATAAAAGATGAGGTGGCCAAGATGCAGGTAGTTAGAATTTACATTAAACGCTATAGAACAAAGTTAAACTACTAGTAATGAAAGTATTCTCAAGTTCATGTTGTTCTCAACGTTGCCAGACTGAGTGATTTTTTGCAGATTTGCTACTTTTGACAAACCTGTGCAAGTAAAATTTTAGTGTAAATAATTTTGTGACTTTAAAGGCCTTTTTTAGTATATTGTGAAACATTCATATTTTTAAATGTATCTATTAAAATTAATTTTTAAAAAAGTTTATTTAGGCTTAAATAGAAGTTGCCATTTGGCAAATCTGAGATCATAGAGCAGGTGCAAACAGTTTTTACGTGTTTGATTGATTGCTTTGTTTAATATTTTGATGGTAGGTGTGCAAAATTTGTTTGATCGTAGCTGCTGTGTTAACTCTTTTGCATCGAAGTTACCCAACATACCAACCATTCAGACAGCAGGTTGCCTGAATTGTTTTTTAACTTGTGCTTTCCCCCCATCACGTTATTGCATTGCTTTCGAGAGTTGTTAAATGACATGCCAATCATTCCCTTGAAGCAACTAAAAGTATTTCTGTTATTTTATTGCATCTTCTTTTCCCTTTGTTTTCTGTCAGTGTTTAGCTATTGATGCCCGAAGTTGTAATCCTGCACACTTAAATAGATTATTGTTAGCGCTGTACCATTCTACTTGTTCATGGGGGAAGGAAAACCGTTTCAAAGAGAAATTCATACACACGGGCATTTTCGAAGTTTGAAGAAAACAAATTTGGTCCTTCGTTTATGTGAAACAGTTAATGAAGTGTGATCTATGAATTGGGAATGATTGGCATGTCATTTAACAACTCTCGAAAGCAATGCAGTAACGTGATGGGGGGAAAGCACAAGTTAAAAAACAATTTAGGCAACCTGCTGTCTGAATGGTTGGTATGTTGGGTAACTTCAATGCAAAAGAGTTAACACAGCAGCTACGATCAAACAAATTTTGCACACCTACCATCAAAATATTAAACAAAGCAATCAATCAAACACGTAAAAACTGTTTGCACCTGCTCTATGATCTCATATTTTCCAAATGGCAACTTCTATTTAAGCCTAAATAAACTTTTTTTAAAAATTAATTTTAATAGATACATTTGAAAGGGATTTCAACCCTTTGTCAAATAGCACTTCAATAACTTTCTTATAAATAAATTTAATGACTTTTTAAAAATGGAATTTTCCAGCTGCTGAAGGAATGGAAAAAGTCATAAAACAAAATGGTACTATCTGATTCTATGACATTTGTATGTGTGTGTGTGCTTTTGTGCTGCTTCAAGAGCAATCAAGGATATGGTCACTATCAAATGTTAGTTACAGCAAGATGTGTGCAGATGTGCTACATTGTAGGGTACATAATATGAAACAGCTGCCTCTTTTGCAAGACTGGAATGATGCTCTTTCTTAAAAATGCCGCATAATATTTGACTGTAATAGAAATGATTTGATTCTGGAACTTCCTTAAAGAAAAAAAGGCCATGTAATGAATGATACTGTGAACCTATACCACACCATCATCTTTATCTGACATAAGAATGTTTCTGCAATCGTGTGTAGGTATTCAGTCACCAAGATGCAGAAGTTGAGTGCCTTTACCTTCTATTATGCAAAAAGTGCATCTCATCACATCACAGGACATTTGACAGCTTATCTGCATTGTTTTCCATCTATTAAAAATCCATCTACAGATTCATGACATCTCTTAACTTTTTAATACACATGGAATCTGAAATAGAAATTATCCAATACCCCATTTCTTTATTAATTGCTAATTTAATTTTTTATATTATGTATGTAAATTTTGATAGATTTTAAACTATCCATTGCTGGCTTATTGTCATAGCAATAAATACATAAGATTACAAATAATTACATTTCTGGTAATTACTATTCCGGTTATGTTACTTTTTAAACAGGTATGATTATCGGAATACACTAATACAAACTTAATCTAAAACACAATGCTAGTATTTTTTAAAAATTTATTCTCCTTAATATTTTTCTCTCTAATGTTAATTTGACTTCAGGCAGTATCTGCTTACATTCTTGTGTGGTCCCATTGCACACAGTGACTACAGTTGTGATCCACCTGGAAGATTTGCTATTCATTGTAGGGTACAACTTTTATTCAATCCTTGAATGGCGTGATAACTGCTGAAGAAACCTATTTCACCTTGCAATCCATATAAAGCTGTTTTAATCTGTGGAAGAATTTTACAAGGATTTTATTTTTGGTGGAGCCTCTTACTTGGTTAGGAAACTTGTCTCAATTTTCTACAGAACTCCTTCAAAATTAATTTCCTATCGCTAAGCAAGTCAAGCCTTTTTATGCAATTGCTTCACAAATTTCGCAATAATATGCTTTATGAAAATTTCTTTCCGCATGAAACTCTTTCATAATATTAATTCTTTGGTAGAGATTGTAATTTATTTCACCAATTGTTAGGCACGCTGAAACATTTGGAGTCATGGGAAGAATCACTGGTTTGACAATGATTTAAATTTTAGTTAAAATGTTCAATTCCCATTTTATCAAATATTATTATTCTAGATAGAGATCTTTCACCTTAATCATAAAATCTTCATATCAATATGTCACATCAAGCAATGAGGGATGAACAGAACATAAACATCTCTGCTCTCCAAAGTTTCTGTCAAAATCGGCATATTGATACAGTACAAAGTCTGACATCCGGACTCGGCAGGATTTAGGCGATCCCAGATTTGAGATTTTTCAAGGATCATCATTTTAAATTCAAGATGGCATATAGAAATTATAAAATTTAAAATATGATCGCGATTTGTGAAATAATGAAGCATTTATGATCAAAAGAGTATTAATATTTATAAAAAAAAGCTTAATATTTATTTATTTACTTTATTAAACATTTCTTTCAATGAAAGTTGTTTACATTGTTTTTGTGCTAATACTCACTCTTTAATTCTATAGATAAATCTAATTTCTTGTTCAAAGTATTCGGTCCTATTGCATGTTCTCCACATTTGTCCCTTTGCAATTATTTTTGTTTCCCAAAAACTAAAGTTGCCTCTCAAAGGAAAGTTTTAATCAACTACGGAAGACATAAAAGGGAAGTGACATCACACTCTTACAAACATTACAAAAACAGACCTCTATAAGCCTTAAATTACTTGTTGCATTTGTATTAAAACAGCAAGTTGCATCAATGTACACTTTAGAATGTTTCAATATTTTTAATACATTCTGATTACTTTATTTCAATACTCTGAGTGTTCAGTACAACTATGATTACTTGAACTTCAGCAAATCGAAGTTTTCGATGGAATGGTTGTTAAAACTAGCAATTCGAAATCAAGTTAAACACAGTATTCAAAACTAATACTAATTTAAAGTCAAATTTTTAATATTTGTTTTTATTATAAAATTATGTAAATCAATATATGCATTTCCTAAATTAAAACGTGGATTATACATTTTTATCACTTATATATATATATACACTTTTTACTATATTACAACTGTGCTTTATTGTATTTTTCTTTTAAAATATGCAATTTTTCAAAAGCATCAAAGCATATAATGGATTGCAAAGCATTCTTCTTCTGAAGAAATTGAAATGCAAATAAATTAAATCAAATTCCTGAAACATTTATATTCAAATAATAATAAATAGATTTAAAGCACACAGCTTGAATAAATAAACAAAAAAAAATTAGCCATGCGACTCAACAAAAAACAAAACAACAACAAAAAAAAAAAAAAAAAAAGAACCAGAAATAATAAATTACAATAAACTGAAGAAGTTCACCAAGTGAAAAAAGTGCAGTATACTAAATTTTGTAATTATTTCGCAAGTTTCACTTCAATTTTTACAAATTTGGTATTTAGGTATAATTTGAGTTGTAGGATCAAAATATGGAAAACAAAAAAGACATGTTAATTCAGAAGAAGTCCAATATTCTATCTGTTAGGACAATGATATGTATAACCCTAATAAAGTACAAAGTCTTTAATCCAGACTCGTCGATTCTGGATTAGGGTTTTTTCCGTATTATAGATCATCAATTTAAATCTGGTAAGATGGCATGCAGAAATTATAAAATTAAAAATATGAAACCGTAATTTATGAAATAAAGAGCAATTATGATCTAAAGGATAAAAATTTACAAAAAAAAAAAAAAAAAGCTTAATATTTATTTGTTTACTTTATTAAACATTTCTATCAATGCGCGTATGCATAAAGCATACATTACGCATAGTCGAAATTAGAAAATTGCAACCAGAAAACTATTTGATGTGTTAAGACACAATAACACGCCGAATAAATACTAATTCAGAAGTCAAACAACAAAAATCAGCGTTATATTTTCAAAATTTTCACAGGACTATTTTCGATGGTTTTACCGAACCACCATCCTCAGCTGCAAAACCACAAACGAACAAGATAGGAAATAATGATTAGATAAGATAAGAAAGCATGGACAAGAATAAGCAAGTGGCGCCATAGTAAATTTTCCAGAAATGTTGAATGTGTGAAAATTCCAGATAGTTGAGCATAAAAAGTGCAATTTAAAGTATAAACGTCAAATAAATCAAAGAAATTCCAATCTAAAATTTTAAAAACAGACATCTTACTTGTTATAAGCTTGAACAAATGCCTACATTTAACATTATATACAATTAAATAAATAAAACACATTTTAAATGTAAAAGCTGAGTTATAGAGCAGGTCCTGAATTTTAAGCATTTTTTGCGAGGGAAAAAGTAGATAACTTATA